GTCATTAAACAGTATGAGGGATGACTCCAGTAACAAAATACTACGATACATTTGATTGTTTGTTTGCATTGAATAGGTACTGAAACTACTAGAGCGACTTAAAAAAATATTAATTTTATATAAATTTTAATTTAAACTTTATATAAATATTATTATTAACATTCTTTTACAATGATATTTCATAATATGGGGGTTTTAGCTACTCTTTTTGGAGTCTGGGCAATATATGTGATGCTGTTTAATATTTATTTATTTCGTTTATTTATATATTCAATAAAACATATTGGTTTATTCAGTTTTCGAAGCTGTTCTGTCTAAATTGGACTTTTTTGCCGAGTGGTTCGCACGCCGGTTTCAAGGTGTCGCTATCTCTGAGGTCCCGGGTTCGATTCCCGGTCGGGTCAATGTAGAGAATGAACTTTTCTATATTGACTCGGGTCTGGGTGTTGTGGTATCTTCGTTGTCTCAGATACTCCATAATACGGGGGCTTTGGCTACTCATCTTGGAATCTGAGCAATGTATGTGATGTTGTTAAATATTTATATTTAATATTTATATATTTAATTTAATATTTTACAATTAGGTACATTTTAATTTAGACAAACTTAATATACTTCAGAAAACTAAGAAATTAAAAATTAAACTTCAAAATTGATGACAGTTTTAATAACTATAACTAACAAAATTATGTACAAAATTATTAATAAATATCTCCAAGCATATAAGACTTCAATAACACTGGTTTAATTTGACTGATTTATCAAGTATTTTATATGCTTATAACCGGATATACCTACTTCTTTCCATCCCACACGTAGGCCGGATATGTAATCGATTGCCTTTTAATAGTGTGAACATAAAAATTTATCGGTGGACTAGAGAATCGTGTTCCTTTGCATGACTAGTCGAAACGAAACAATAGCCACATGTCTATGGCAGCGTAGACAATCGCGCCAAAATTTCCAAACAAACCCGTCACAGATTATAACGATATTATCAATAAAGAAAAAATTGAGCTCTGTACAGATCATTGGTAATATTTTTTTGTTTTGTAAATACAATAAAACAATTATTCAGTTGTTACAAATGTTAAATATCTAAAAATTACAAAGGACATATACAAACATATCCTAATATGACTTTCAGACAAAATTAGGAGGAAATAATCCAATCCATATCGAATAGTCTAATAATTTCCTTTTTTTTTATTATATTTGTTAATTTAAAAGCACATATATGAAATAAGTGACTATATTTAAGTTTTCATAATAACAAAGCAGGAAAAACTAAAAGCGACTTCAAAATATACTCGTATTTGAAATCGCTTTCAGTTTTTTTTTATATAAAATATATATTTTACAATTTCAGTGACTGATGAATTTTATAAGCATTTTCTTTAAGTTTAAATACTACTATTTAATAATACCTACTATTTATAAATAACAATGAATAATAGAGCCTAACTTTGACTCTACAGAAGATGACGACGAAACCCCTCCTTTTTGAAACCAACATATAAATGTATCGGGATCATTCATAAAATTTAGTAAACAATATGCGCTAGTCTTTAGAGTGGCTATAATCCGTTCAAAAAAAACAAAGGCTAATAAATAGTTAAGTGGAAAGTGACAAAACAATATGTAAATATCATTATTTAGCGCATCCGCTGAGTCATGGAACCAATTTGTTGTTAGAATGCGGCTGCGATCGGACTAGGGGATGAAAAGAGACGCATTTATGTACTTTTACGATTATCGTAACTAAATTATTTAGAAACGAAACATAGGTTACCTTAGCATTAATTATTAATATTCCATATATAAAAAGGAAAAAGGCGGACCTCATATAGGATCACTTAATTGTCTGTCTGTCAAGATCTTTAATTTCGGCAACTCACTTGAATCTATAAAAAATTAAAACATAAAAACAACTCTCAAGGAACTCAAAATTAATACAGTACCTCCCGCTGACTTAGAACTTAGAAAACGAACATTTTTATAGTACCAAACATTTGTTATTTAATCATTACAGTTAGAGAGTTACAATTAAAAGCTACTAGTTCAGATATGATATCATTATAAATGGGCAAAATGCACATATCATAGCATTATTTTCGATTCTAATTACTTTATGGTAACCCATATCGGCATTAACTACCATATATGATGACAGTTTTTTTTATTTCTAATATCCAAAAAAAGCGACTCCAACTAATACTGTCCCAATCTGCATTTTGAAATTGGAACGACGCGGGCCATAGACAATAATGATGGTATCACCGACCGTTTAGCATAGAACAAGGCGTTTGGCAAGACCTGTTTGTTGTTGAGCGTTCAATCACGCGGGATAATCTTGAAACTCACGGAGCTATAATAAACAGGAGACCATTAACGGAACCTCAACGAAAAACAAAATTAAAATTGACTACCAAGAGTTTTAAAATAATAAAACAATATGCAGAGGAAAATCGTACGAATTAACATGAGTCTTCGAACAAAATTTTGGAAAATTTCGGATCGTTCTAGTAAGCCGTTCTTGTAAGACTCACCCCGAAAAGTCTCAGAAGAAAAAATATAAATAAATGTGAAGGCGAGAAACATATTACATTCACGAGTCTCAGGTATTCTCGGAACCTCTCGGCGTGAGTCTTTCCGACCTATTATAATTTGTTAAAATTATAAAGATTATTATCTGTGCATCAGAAGCTGTGTCAGGTTCTACCTACGTTGCATCATAATAAATATAACTCCAAAGAATCAAATTATCGAATAATTTGTTTCTTTAGAGTCGTATTGCATTACAATAGACTAAAAGTTTGTAATTATTCAAAAAAATGGATATGCCTTCAGGTGTTATGTAAATTTATACGAATTAAGACAATAAAACTAATGCATAACTTAAAAAGCTAAATATGGTTACTGAGGACGTTAAGCTAATATCTAGTCTTAAAAAGCAATGTCTGGGATACATAGTCCGTAATAGTCGTAAGAGATCGTATCAAAAATGTGCAAAAATTTTTCTGAAGCCTAATATTTCAATGCGTTGAAGTACTTGGTACCTACCCAGGGAGGAGGTTAGCAGAGCGATCGCCTCGCTCTCTAGCCATGATTATCCTATGGCTTGGACACAACATCTTAGCGATGTTGTGGCGATATTTCGTTTCATTTTACTACTTTGACATGTGTTCTAGTGGACAAAAATTAAAATAAACTAAGTCAGCACTGCTGTTAAATACATAATGATCGTTATTTCTCATTCATTTATCGTGTTAAATATGTAAAATGACACGAAGTATTGCCCATATATCGCTAATGTGTATCTTATGGTTAGATAATTAGGCGGTCGCACTCGCTCGGTGGTGGCGGGGCAATGTAAAGTACGAAAAATCTATCATATTAAAGGTGATTTTTAACAGTTTAGAATTAACGTAAAACCTATTCTTAAACAGTAGACTTAGTTTGCACAATCATGTAACGCAGCGACGCAGCAGATTTCTAGTCTGTGTGAAAATGAGCTCCGAAAAAGAGTTTCATAAAAAATAAGCCACTAAGGCGGTCACTAATGAAAGCTACGAATGAAAGTTATGTCAAATGAAGGAAGAGATACCTAAGAAAAACCTTAACTACGAACGTTTCACTGTGGTCAATTTAGAAATAAATGTCTAAGTATGTGTTGCTACAATACGGGTGTAGACGATTTTATTAATATTTTTATTTTAAATAAAATAAAATATTTTTAAAAAATATATAAAAAAGTTCAAATAATTCATATTTAATTTAAATATTTATAAATTAAATAAGCATGGTAGTGCGATTATCGGTAAGAGTATGTTAAATACTACCAAAAAATGTTGACTATGACACAAATCCAGTCTGTTGCGCATATAAATTATGTCTGTAGTATGGTATTTAGAATGAGTAAAGCTATTACCTATTTTACCGGCAGCGGAATTAAATGCAATCATAGAACATGATCACTAACAAATTAACAACTTTGTAATATAATTACTATATATCAATATTAAATATACATAATAATATCATATTTGCTTTATAATTCAATAAATTGTATTTTTCCTGACGGTGATAAAACTTTTCCACGGTAATTGTAGGACTAAACTGTATGTACAACAAAAAATATCAAAATTAATCATGTACGCAGATCGCCCAGACTCCATATAATTTCGTTCAACCTCCTTTGACGTTCTATTGCAAGAAATATTTCATATTTATTTTAAAATTTACAACCCTCTATTAAAAGATTAATACAGTCACATGATGTTAAACCCTTCATATTATATTATTTATACGATTATTTACAATTTATTACATATAATATCATCATTATTATTTTTTTATTGCTCGTTACAATTTTTCATTAAAATATTGATCTACGAGAATTACGCCCATTACGGCTACATTTTTTCTATCAAATTATCGAAAAACTATATTCTAAACTTGGAAAGTCCCATTCAACAACCATGTTAGCATATTTGCCATTGTCCCAAAGCTATTTTCATTTAAAACTCACTTGTTCATAATTACATCCAAGCTAAGAACGGCTTGTTGGCACATCTTCATGGGTTGACATGAAGACAGATTTTTATCCCTAGGGCCGGTTGACACGTAATGGCATAAATATTTACAATTAATTTAATAGTTCCTATTTTATTTTTACTGTTTAGAATAAGTACATATTCACTATGTTCTTATTATTATTCTTTCGAATATATTTTTAGGGTTCCGTACCCAACGGTAAAACCGGGAGGTTACTACTGAGATTCCATACACAAACGTCATTTTTTTATAAATAAATAATGATACGGAACCCTACATACGCTCACTTGATAAAGATATAAATGATAATATTACTTGATATCTGCATTAGAAACTGAAAAAAATTAAACAACTATTGCCATCTATTAACGAGTAGCAAAACTATAAATCTATTAATAAAATTTAACCTTGTCTATGGCACTTGGCAATGTGTGAAGTTCAATTTTGACAGTTGTAACCAGTGGTCATCGTATTTTTTATACCTCCTTGCATTTTGATACCAAAATATTAGTTATTCGCAAAGTGGTATTACGTGTGCACGATGAAAATTCGAACCCACGCATTTCGGGAAAGGTGGAATGCAGCCCGCTAGCAACGGTGAGTATTCTAAATTTGAGTTAGATCTAACGTAATGACCATATTTTTAACTGATTAAAAAAACTGTAGTCAATTGGTTGTTAACCTTTTAACTGAAAGCGGGACTAGTAATTCGACGCTCTGTCGCTTATAATTCTATTACGAATCAGTCTGTCTCCGCATATATTAAGGACATATCTCTTGCACAGTTTCGATGTTATTATGCGGTATCTACTTATCATAAAATTGTTTTGTTATCTCTAATAGAACAAAAATTCAGTGTTGAACCGTTGATTGGCTTTAAACTACCTGATAAAAACGTTAACTGATGCAGTTATCTGTGAAAAATTATAATTTAAAAAGTAATAATTTAGTGTTCTAATTTCAAATCTATTTTTCGTTCTGTGACGTAAAGATACCGCGAGTTTTGTTCATTTGTTCTGTTAACTATTTAGGAATCACTAAAGAGGTCAGGTATGTTGATATATTATTATTTTTTAAATTTAATCCAACACTTCACATTAGTTCTTATCTCAATATCTAAAAAATGTCATTTGACTAGTATTCATACAGAATTATTTATAAAGAGTCATCACCATTAATATTTTTTAATATTTATTTATTTATAAAGTACACCTAACTTCTTTCTGTATATTTATAATTACAATTATATATATATATGGTTGATTAAAGACAGTGAACTTTTAATATTAATTGAGAATATATTATTTGATTAGAGTATTATTCGATACCACTTAAAATTGTTTCTATTAGTTGACAAATACTTTATAACTTTAACAGGAGCTTAATACCCTTGATGTAATATTTGCTTGCTGAATACATTTAAAGAAAATTATTTGTCTATCATTATTTATAGAGATAACTGTAAAATAACTAAAAGTAAAATTAGTTTCAGTTCTATTGTACAACTCTAAACTAAACTGAAAAACATTTCTGATGTCACCAGTCTCCTTGAAATTTAATAGGAACTTCTGTTTCCAATATCCTGTTAAGCTTATAAAACTTGAAGCTACACAGTTTGATGGAATTATAAGTAAATTGTCACAGTTGCTTTTAAAACGCCCCTATCTTTTTTAAACATTAACTATTGCCTGTTTTCACTGGGATAATGTTATATCAATGCAGTTAGTAGTTTAGGAGCATATTCAATGTAAACTGTCAAATCTTTATAATAATAGATCATATCAATACAGGATGTATATACTGAAGATAATGTAATATGAATAAGAAGAAAATATTTAACCACAATTGAAACACGATGATTGTGTGGACCAAATTTCTTTAATTGATTTTAATCTTTTGACAATTAAGTTCAAAATTGATTGTAGATATTCAACCTTTGTAACCTGATGTGTGTAGGTATAGTATAATAGGTTTAATATTTTTGTCACATTGAAATATATTAAAATAAATAACAGTAGTTATATCACTATGCATGAATGCAAATTTTATCAAATGTGATAAGTATTTCTGGTATGTTACAAAGCTGTTAGAATTATAAATCTGAGGTTAAGTAGTTTAATACATTAAATTATTGTTACTATAAAACTAGAATAAAATTTTCGTGATATCCTTTCTGTATTATTTTAATTTTGTCTTAAAAAATAGTCACAAATTTTTTTAATCATAAAGTATAACAAAAAGGATGTAATTTTTTTCAATATGTCATTTAATAAACTAACTCTAAAAGAACCCTGATATCAAAATTCAACAATAAGTTTAGGCCATCAATATACCAATAGCCGTTATGTACAGTCGACAGCACAAAAGATTACACAAAATTGTCAAATACCTACAGTTGATTATAAATCTTAATACCTTAAAATTAAATAATTCTAAGTGTTTAACATTTTATGATGAACTGACGTGCGGCTGTATGTACTACTACATCGTCTGTTAAATGTGTACAGCTTCATCTAAATATCTGTATTCGTTAAAATTTACCGACTACTATATGTCGCAGTCGAGTTGTAAAAAATGGCCTTTTATATAATGTCTATATCTTACATAAAACGAAATTAAAATATTGAATTTTTAACAAAATTATTTTTTTATACTTTTCTGGCGTCCTATTTTGTTTCTCTAGAAATTAAATTTCGTATAAATTTTAAACGCTGTTACTACCCCATTAAAACCAAAAGCAATACTATTCGGACCATGGATTGCCCACAGTACGCAGATAATCAAACGGGAAATCATTTTACTACGAAAAAAATCTATAATATTCGGCTTATTTATAGAAAAAAGCTTCTGCATCACACAAGATCAGCAAATAACATCATAATTGCACTGAGCTGTAGACACCCTACGATGGCCACAAACATTGAGCTTTTCATTTAAGCACCATACATATATATAAAAAAGAAATCATCCAATTTTAGTACAGCAAACTGTTCTGTTACAGTGCAGTTTTGCTGAAAATAAGAAAGTTTAGATGCTAAACTTAATAAGCTTGTGTTATAGAAATCTGAAACATCAAAGAAGACAATACAGAAAAGTTCATTTTTAACATTGACCTTACCTTAAGCAAATCTGGATATAGCATTGAAACCGGCGAGCTAGCCACTAAAAGCGAGGGTCATAACACAAATGAAACAGTTGTTATATAAAGTCTAGGCATTTCTCTCAAAGTCTTATCAGCATAAGTAGCAGTAACGTTAATTGAATACTTTAAATGCTCATAATAATGCTATGTGTATGTGACCAGCGAATTTAACAATCTACGAGAAGCAACATTTGAAATGTTACTTGGACAGGTTTGCACAACTGGTATGATAAAATTAACATTAAAACTAAAAAAAAAACGATGGATTCGAACGATTTTGAACTGCGCGATTCACCATAAACAGGCTAGATTAACTTTTTTCTTTTTTTTCCTCGCTAAACAGTCCGCTAAAATAAGTTCTAAACTCAAATGCCAAATGATCATAAGTTACGTAAGTTTACGTGTTTTGATTATATTTCGATAGAGAGCACTTTTGTGCCAAAGCTCATTGGTGAGTACACATCTAATTTACTTACTAAATTATTAGGAATCGTTTACATACCTAGTCTAGCCATAAATGCTGTTACTGGTTATTAACATACATTTAAAAAAAAACATTAATTAGAATTTCGAACATGAGCTCGAGGATTGCAGTAATTGCACTGTACAAAGTAGGTAAGGACCCAGCCGACATTTTTGATACATTGAAAAAGCCACACGTACACTGAAACCATGTCTGTTGATGATTGTGAGACATCCGGCCGACCGCGGTCTATTCAAACAAACCAGGCCGTTAATGCAGTCAAGGCCAGAATTCATCGAAATCCCAAATGGAAGCAGAAAATCCTTTCCAGAAAAATGAGCAGAATTACCCTACGTTATGTTTCGAAGCCTAATCAATGCAAACAATCAAATATTTCCCCTTTTAAAATATAATGAAAGATTTGCATAATCAGAAGATTTCTTGACGACTGTTTTTTAAACTGATCGAAATGTCATTGTTATTATTGTTTTGGTATTTATTGTAGAAACGCACACATAGATCTCTGAAACTGTAAATGTAGTTACTGCAACCTAAAATATCTATAATATTGTGATTGTGACTCGTTACCTAAATTCCACAGTACTTATTCTTTTAGACTGGTATCCTCCAAAGTCTTTAATTTACCTGTCTTACAGATATTATAATCTATATTAATTATACTAGGCTTTTACAAGCAGTTGTGAAAGTCGAAAGCTATGTCATGGGTTCGCAAATCTACGGCGGGAGACGGTGGAATGAGAACCGGCAAGAAACTGACCAAAGGCAAAAGGAAGTAGGTATGAGATTCTGGATCTTTTTCGGCGAGTGCTGTTTTCTCCGTGTATTATTTCATAGAGAGAAGTTAATTTATAATTAATAGACTGCGTAGTTACTTTAAATTATACTTTAAAAATAACAAAACCTGGTTGTTTATATTTAATATATGAATAAATATATTGTACAAAATAACTTATTGATAAAGTAATCTATTGATAAAATAAAGGAGATGTCCTGACATACTGAGTAACAGATAACACACAGCCTAAACCGCTGATCGTAGAGACTTGAATTTTGGAAGGTACATTCCTCTTCTTGCGTAAAGGTGTACTACGGATTCTTGGAAATTCCACCCCGAAGGGGGTAAAAAGGGTGAAAACGTTTATATGAATAGGTCGTATTTTATCCAGAAAACCAGCACTTAAAGGGATAAAAATGGGAGTGGAAGTTTGTAAGGGGAATCAAAATGTTACCATAGTAACCGTTGTTTATAATTTGACATTGTAATAAATCTATCTTACATTAATAAAGATTTCTTATATATATTTGATAACATAATTAAGAACAAAAGTTACATTTTAAATATAATATTTTCAAAATATTCAAGTACAAATTATATTTTTTTATTTATTTTGAGGTATACTAGTAGGCTTTAAGTATATTCTATATCGCACTGTTTTGGTCAAAGTTGAGTTTTAAAATACAATGCAGTAAGCACTTTAAGCTTTGCTATACTATGTAGATGACATTTATTTTCAACTAAACTGTTTCCGATAAAGTTTTCTGAAATTTGATTCACCTTTTTATTTCCATCTGTTTCTCAAATTAGATAATCGGCTTTAAAGTTTTCAAAGTGCTGAAACATATTAGACATTAGGTAGTCGGTGCACATGTCACGGGCTTCAAGCCAGAGGGGCGTATACGCAACAATAAGCATGTTTTTCATAATAATTGTTAAATTACTTAATAATATACATGTCAAACACTTTTCGACTTGTGACCGACAGACATGTATTATTCTCATTTTCTATCTGAAAGTAGGGGTATTACTTAAGGCGAATTCGAATATGAAAAGTAATAATTTAAAATATTAACGGCCAGCACTTGACCATAAACCGTCCGAAGAGTAAACCCTACCTATAGTAATGTGCTCGGACGTTACAGTACCAAAAAAAACATTCTCCTTTAACATAATGTTTTTTTCATAAGTTTACAAAAAATCTTTTTAATTAAACTCGAAACAGAAACATCAATGTCAGTTGTGATTTTTTATAATTTAGTCTATTTTTTCGGTATATATCTGATAATTTCTTATTATATGATGTAATGAGCAAGTCATGCAAAAGTAAGTGTATGTACATACCTGTACCTATGTCTGTTACTCTCTCATGCCTAAACCACTAACCCCTTAGGACATAGGTTACTTTTTACTCTGTAAAATTATCGAAAGTTTTTATTCGGGTATTTACATGATAAAATGAATCTAATTTGTGTTAGCGTTTTTGGAAATGCTGGCCAAAGTAACACGGGCGAAGTCGCAAGCAAAACCTAGTGTATAATAAATATTATCTATACAATAATGTTAATGAGTCGCGGGAAAATAGCTAGTTCATAATAATCTTCTGGGCCGATTGTGATATATGTACGCTTCGTTTATTGGTATCTTGTACATATTATTAGGTTTTAGAATCCATTTCAATGACTATAAAATTTGACACCTAATAAACATTTTAAACAGTATATAAAAACGCGATATCCCGTAAATATTAATAAACGTCAATCCATCGACTAATTTCCGAATTATACGGATTTCAACTCTACTGTATTTCATCATCAATCCGTCAGAGTTTTCAATATTCTAACTCCGAAATTGACCAATTTAGAAATAAACTGTCAACCCTTATTTAAAACTTTTAGGAGTCGAATTAAATAAAAACTATTCTCGTTGCTCGCGGACTTAATTGTTTTGTAATCCTAATAGTTTGAGCTGTGAATGCTGTGATTTATCAGACTCAAGTCTACTCACATCTTGCCCTAACCCCTTTGGGATGATTTTCGTTATGTATAAAATCAATAACCCTTTAGAGGGTTATATACTTTAAATATCTAATATATAAAATTCTCGTGTCACAGTTTTGGCGTAGTTTTAGTTACCATCAAGGCTTGAAACCGGTTCAGAATAAACCGTTTTTATTTAGGTAAAACCTGTTCTCTTATAATGTTCCGTTCCGGATCGGAACTAAATTCGGATGGAATAAAAACCGGTTAATTTGCTTGGTTCGTAAAAAGCAATGTTCTTACGCTTTAAATGCGAATTATATCATTTTTAAGCGACGACATTTATCATACCTGTGTACGGATGTTATAGATAGGAGTAAAGGCACTTAAAAACCGCGCTGAAGTTCATAGTCATATTTAAACCGGTTAATGAAGAAAACCGTATTTCTAGTGAACCGGTTTAAAAACCTGTTCAAAGGAGCCGAACCTTTTATGAAAATTTTTCTAATGTACTTACGTCGAACCGGTTCAAAAAATTAACCGGTTTCCAAGCCCTGGTTACCATACTCTTTCGAAACAATTTGACCGATTTTGATCAAATTTTATATGCATTTGTCAGTTGGTCTGAGAATAGGTTGTTTGTTATCTATTTTTCATACTCTTAAGCCATTGGGATGGTTCACCCCAAAATGTGGCAAAATCTATACTAATATTATAAAGCTGAAGAGTTTGTTTGTTTGAACACGCTAATCTCAGGAACTACTGGTTCGAATAGAAAAAATCTTTTTGTATTGAATAGACCGTTTATCGAGGAAGGCTTTAGGCTATATAACATCACGCTGCAACTATTGGGAACGAAGAAATAATGGAAAACGCGGACGAAGTCGCTGGCGGCCACTAGTTTTATATAAAATCAAGAATCGAACTTATAGAGTTATTATGTCCATGTCGTTACGGGGAATCATAAAAACAAGGCAATTATAATCTGACAAATTCGATAAAAATGTGAACTTTAATAAATTCAAAGTGACTTTTAAATAAAATACATATTTTTTGTCTGTTGCGACTGCACGGATGAGTGTATAACGTTATAGTATATCCAAAATTGAGTTATAAGGCACTTGTCTTTTAAAACAGGGTTCTGCAACTTTATGAGTTGGAAAAGCCAAAATAAAAGATTTACAAAATTTAAATGTTCTAAAGAGCCACTGAAAGATTTCCATTTTAATAAAGTAAAATAATGTTTTAAATGAAACTTGAAAGTTACAACTTTACATCGAAAGAAACACAGGTTGCTACCTGCCTTAAAAAAATGCCTAGGGGAACATAATTTTATGACTTTGTATGTTGAGGTTGTCCCTACATGCTGGATCCCGCATTGTCCCCCCATGCAAATGTACTCCGCAGCTGGCTTAATCCTGTAGGCTAACGACGATTTAACCTTGCTCTTCGGGATAAAAAATAACATGGGCATTAACAAAAAAGGTCTTAGTTGATTCTGCCGTTATAATCAGTCTCGATCTTCATTACTAAAAATATTGTGCACCCAAAGTACTTAATACCTTTTTTCAATGTCTGTTTCTTGCCGTTCCTTTTACTTATTTTTTTCAAAGCGGTGATACCTACCTAACTAATCCTGTAATCGTAGGTTTTTGGTCCGTCTATGAGGTAGGGGATACTTTTCAGCTATCCGAGCACAAACAGCTTTTTTTAATTAACTGAAAACACTTTGGGAGCACATAATGGATAAATGGCTATTTTTATTGTTTCCGGTCTGGGTGCAAGATTGTTTCAGATTTACATAACGTAAAGGCTTTAGTTACTTCGTATCTGTTGATAACCTTGACTGTAGATGTTGACATTTGAAGTCTTTTTTTAATTACTCGTACCGCGTCTAGTCGTAGTACTAGTCGAATAGTCACAATGTAACTTGGTAGCTCCAAGTTTAATAGCAAGAAATTTGGATGCAATGACGACGAAGTTAATACGGACAATGTATTTATACCAAACCCCGAGATGGGATTGGTGACCATATTTAAGTTAACGTTCTCTGCGAGCGAGTTAAGTCTTTTTCCTCACAACCACACAATTCCCCGGAATTAACGAAAAATCACCTTCATTTCCCGTAGGTTCAATTCTGAATCTTTTCCATTTTGGTCCGAATTGTGTGCAATAAATTTTTTATTAAGTGGCCTTGAATAACTTGTTTATGTTAATAACTTAGGCTCAATAAAGTTTATAATATAAGCTCGTTTTATTCAGATATTTAACTTTAACTCATAGTTTATATTAACATCATTCTGTAATCAATCACACGTTAGTTAAGAGTTATTACTCGTGTTCTATAATAAATTTACATTTGTTACCTTGGTCATTTAAAGAATTGAAAATGCATTGACCGGGTCAAAACTAAGTTAAGTCCGTGCTTGTGTCTTAAATAAAAGAAACTATGATTAAAATTTATAAAGATAGAATGTGAAATAAAAATACGCTCACTAGCAATACAAGTAGAAATTCGAGATATTTAGTAATATACTCGTAGGTAGTTACATAGTCGCGGTCAGAATAGTTTTGCTTGAGACTTGAATTTTATATAAAAGATGCAATACCCTAGCTAAACTATTGTAGCAAAGCTTCGCTAACACTTTCACACCGAGTTGGAAAAAATGAGTTGGAATAAATGTGGAAGGATAACAGGTATATACTAAATATTGATGCGAAAATTTTGTTATAACTGTTTGTTTGTTTTGAACTTGCTCGTGTCCGGTTTTTTTAATTGGACTGCTTAGAAGCATCATTTAGCGTCTACTTGTAATCAAACCGCCAGACTATTAATTAATGCATATAATTTTCGTGGAGATCACTTTTAAGGTTTCGGAATCAAAGGCCACTCTTCGAATAGGTGACCAAGAGTGTATCTTAAGTTCACACACTCCGAGCAGTCCCGTTAGGAAGCAAGAATAGTGCGTAACGCATTTTCTTTTTAACGGATTAGCAAAAGGTATTACGGGTTCGAGTGATGCCGTCTCAACACCTATTTCGATATAATTTTTTTGTTTCATTCTACTCATATGGAAACCCAAGAAATATTGTTAGGCTTATAGATCTAATTTCCAGGTGGATATGTCTACAAGGAGTTCAACCGCGATCCGAGCTCGGCGCGGGCACAAGGAGCGGTCCAAGAACTTCACGGAGCTGGAGAAGCGCACCGTCCTCGAGCTGATAGCGCGCCACCGCGACGTGCTGCGACAGGGCCGCTCCAACAACGCCACCAACAGAAGCAAACAGGTACATGCCATATACACACCACACAGGCGACACATAAATCAGACGCTTCCAAAAACGGGTAATTATTCTAGCTATTTGATCACGGCTTCCAAAGTCTCTTTCCACTTTACAGTGGACCCTCTATACTCGCACCTCTTATATACAAATTCGCATGTACAAACGGCAACAAATCTCGCAACCACCACTTTACACATTTTTCGCCCCTCCACTGAGCATGCCCAACCAGGCCCAAATTTAAGCTTTTTTAACTGGGGCAGAAACTGTGTATGGCGCCCTTCCTCTACCCCCTAAATTAAAATTCTTTTTTCACCGTAAATAGGCGTTATAGCTTCCCCCTGACACTGGGGCCCGGGGCAAATGCCTCCACTTGCCCGGCCACTAGATCCGGGCCTATAAAACAAAGTCGCTTTCCATTATCTGCATGCTGAGATCTTTTAAACTACAAGATGTATTTCAATTATACAGATTGATTCAAGAGGAAGATTTATATGTATACCTAATACAGGACCACGCGGGCGAAGGCGCTGGCGGGAAGCTAAGCTTAGAACCTTATTATATCGTTATTTTTTTAATATATTGACAGCAGAAAAGAATATCATATTATCACACTCTAAAAAAAATATTGTTATATCAAACAATATTGTGATATATGTCACCAAGCATCTTGTTTCCATATGAGCCTGACAAGATGTTAGATACATTAAATAAGATGGTTTTTATTATTTTTACTATAAGTTACTTTGTTAAGATAATTAAGATTTTATTCAATTTGATCATTATAAATAACTATAGCAACTACCTCTTAGTCTACAATTTAAATAAGATCTTACTCGATATGTATATAATATGTGACTGTATGAACTATTTACCACAGTTGATTCAACCAAGAGGTTGGTAAAAATTAACATGAAACGTGGCTAAACTAATCAATTTACGAAAGTTAATTTGACCAAAGAGTTGGTCAATTTAACCATGAAATATGATTGTACTTGCCAATTTACCTTAGTTCTTTCAACCGATAGGTTAGTCAATATTAGCATGAAACATCGTTGTACTAACCAATTTACCGAAGTTAATTCAACCAACATGTTTGTCGATATTAATATGAAACTTGGTTGTTCCAAACAATTTACCGAAGATAATTCGGCCAAGAGATTGGTCAATTTAATCATGAAGTATGATTAAACTAACCAATTAACCGAAATTGACTCAAATAAGAGGTTGGTCGATTTAACCGAGAAACATGATTATATAAACCAATTCACCAACGTAAATACAACCAAGAAGTTAGTCAATTTAACCATGTAATATGATTATAGTAACCTATTCACCGAAGTTAACTTAACCAAGAGGTTTTTTAATTTAAACATAAGATATGATTATACTAACCAATTTACCAATGGTAATTCAACCAAGAGGTTGGCCACTTTAGCCATGATATATGATTATACTTACTAAGTAACCGGAGTAGATTCAACCAAGAGGTTGATCAATATAACCATAATGAACCTCTTGGTTGAATATAAATATGGTTGATTTAACTAATTCCGAATTAGAATCTTGGTTATACACTTCTCAGCAGCTCCGAAGGAAATTGTACCCGCGATCTTTCGCAATCCGGATGAGCCACGGAGGCGCTCAGTCAGAGCACTCACCCGGATTTTGAAAGGTCGCGGGTTCGATTACCGCCGGAGCTGCTGAGAAGTGTATAACCAAGATTCTAATTCGGAATTAGTTAAATCAACCATATTTATATTCAACCAAGAGGACCATCGCTTTTTTCCAATAATAATTTAATCATAAAATGGTCGCTGCCATTTTTTGATTAAATTATTATTGTTCAAGTTTTTTAGTGGTTTCAAGTAAAAAATTGTAGAAAACAAAAATCTATGTCCAATAACAAGTTGAAAATACTCTTGATATAAATATCAATGTGTTTTGGAATGATAGTTATATTGATTACTTTTACTAAGGCATGGTAGTGTATGAAATTAAAACAGTATATTTTATTTCTAAAAAGAGTTTATTTCAAATGGTACAGCGCAATGTCACATATTTTTTACCACTACTTAAAATATTTATATTACATGGTATCGGAGATACTAATGAATTAAATTTGATAGTCTTTCGTCTAGTGTTTGTTTCCTTAACTTCAAAACAGCAGAAATGATTATCAAATTCCAATGTTTGTAATACAATTCCTGACATGATGAGATTTTTAGCATCATACAAATAAATTTCTTGTACTTGAAAAAATACTGGCAAACAATCACTCGTACTTGTACTATAAACTAAAATAGTGCCAGGTACATAGCGAGTTGAAGTAACAGTAGCCCAAGAAACTTTTACTAAAGACTTATTTTTACATAATTCTAAACTGGAACAAAGGTATTGCTTTACATCATGAGATATATTTACCACAGGGCCAGTACGGAGCGGATCTTCTAATTTACCCTTCAAAAAAATTTCATTTAAATGTGACAGATTGGCGTATAAACTGGCTATAAAGGTCGACAGAGCATTTTCTACAGTCTCTAAATTACTTGAAGTTTGAGATAACTGTTGTGGTAGAATATTTACGTCATGAAATAAAGCAGGTGATAGAATAGATGAATTATCAGTCGCTGCGTGATCAGGCTTCATTAAATTGGCTTGACTTTGGTCTCCTGAAGAATGTTCCCGTAAAATATGTCTCCTTAATGAATTAATGAATTGGAATTGACGATTACAGTTATCTTGTACACACTTATATACACTGAGTTCTTTTGGAGTGTGTAATAAGTTAAAGTGTGATTTGAGTTTTTTAAAATCAGGCAGTTCTGTATGGCATATAAAGCAAGTTAACATTGTTGTTTATATGTATTATATACTTTTAATTAATTAAAATATGAATAACAATCACAAACTTTAAATTAACTTCTGTACTTATTATATACATATATGTTTTAATTTTCTCAACTTACCTAAAAACACTTTTACATATCTATATTGCAATCAGTGAGTAAGGACTCTGTAGCAGTTGATCCTTTGTCAAACGGGGATGACATTTTATAAAGACCTCGTTGTTTAAAGTACCACACTGGGTATGTGTCAGTACCATACTCTATATTTAAGGCCCATACTATTTTATAACATGTATCAATTGCTTGTATTATAGACTGTCTTTCATAAATCACTGATCTATTTGCAATAATTAAATAAGAGTTAATTTCTTCGAGTGACTCACCTACTACTATTACATAAGGCTGAGATGGCAATCCTTTCTTTTGGAGTGATGCTAAGCGTTGTCCAATGGACTGACTAATGTCTGCACTGGATTTCACATGCTTGATAAATCCGTCTCGTACTTCTGCTTTACTTGGCTTCCAGTTTTGGTTTCCTTCCAAACTGCGCTTTTTCTTTTGTTTAATAGTAGCAGTATTTAACAAAAAAGGTATTGTCAGAAATCCGGCTAGATTGGAAATTTCTTCATTTGTAGCTAAAAATGAGTAGTTCATTAAATGACAAATTTAAAAGACATTTTATTCAACACTTAGAAATACAGGATGGATTTTTGCGATGAGTCACTAAGGGCAGATACCATAATCATTATAGTTACAGGAAAACATTCCTAGGAAACTAATCATAATTTTGTTACATATCTTGAACAACATTCACAGATTATAAAAAAAAAATGCTAAAATACTTTTTTAATTATATCTATAGGTACTATTTCTTGAGGAGATAAAAATACTCTATAGTATAATCATTTAAGATTGAATACTAGAACGTCAGAAATCGTCTAAAACATTTTTCATACATTTTGTTACAATTCACACTTCAACATTCGTTTTGGCTGAAAAAGAAACATTATTTTAAAGAACAATGGTCAAAATGGACTACGAAAAAAAAGTTTTTGTACAAAGATGGAACTATCACCAAAATGTAGTACGAGTTGAATGTAATTATTATATACCAACAATTTATTTTTAAAAGCTGGGAAAAGAAAGATAATCTTCTCTAAAATAGTTTTAGTCTTTATTTTTAACGCAGTTTAAATTATGTTATTTTTGAACGCATCTTATTAATAATGTCATTCTTAGAGAAGTCCCTCTCTTTTCAAAGAACAAGATCGATTTTATTTCTGACTAATCGGATGTGATACAAATCTTATATTATTTACTAGCCGTATAAATCCACGAAAATTATAAAACTTAGATTACGAATATAATTAGATGTTACTTAGAGGAAAATAGTTTATTTATAATGAAATTAAAAAAAAATGATTATTCATAAGAATCGATATTACAGTATTCAATCGATTGCGACCTCCCTTTTTTAGACAAGTATGTGTAGACGTGTTTCTACGCAGACTGTTTTGTAACTTTGGCGGCGATTTTGTATTATCTTCTGTATTATGGGGAGTATAGAATTGAGGTCTGGAAAGAAATACGAGATTCTCTCGATTTATTAGAATTAGACTTAAATATAAATAAAGTCCTAATTATAAGGGATAGAATTAAGTCGAGACATTGGGAGAAAACAATATTATTAAGAATATTTATATTTTGGATTTGAATCGAATAATTTCAAATTACGCTTAAGTATGTGATAAAATAATTTTACATTCTTAGTAGCAATTTATAAAAAAATTGTAATAAAGCTTTTTTCAAATAGTGGATGTTTCAAATTGATTAAAGCGTAGGTATTTTAAAGATCCTACAAACAGAGAAACGGTTGTTGCAATTTTTGTAGTTCTAATATCTTAGTAGAGTAATCCTACTTGTAAAGTACTTCGGTTTTATGAGTTACCGTAGATTCTGTAGGTACTCAAATTCCAGCGACTTTGGGAGACCAAATGCTTTTTTATTTAAGTATTTAGTATTTCAAATTTTGGTGAGCTTTTTTATCACAGGAAGAAATAGGTTATTTTAGCAATAAAGAATATTTTTAACAGAATTAATAATGGATGGGAAACGTTTTTGGCGATTTCTGACTTTTCTTATACTCAAACCTTGAATGGTCTCATAGTCTTTTGATCCAAGCATGAAATAGGATCGATAGCCATGAAAAAAAAAAATAGTATTTTAGCATTTTTTTGCAAACATATTATGATATCAGTACAGGTACAAAAACAATACTAGCGTCTTTATTATAAGTCTTTACAATCTTGATTTATTAGTGCGTGTGATTTATTCTTAGATCTTCTTGGTTTCCCGACATCTCGGCGCCTTTGCAGTAGCTGTGATCACGGGCAGACTGCAGTCTGCCATATCTGCCCGTGACCACGACCCCTGCAAAGGTGCCGAAATGTCGAGAAAAGAAGAAGTCACACATACTAACAAATCAAAATTGTCTTTCAAACTAGTGGCCGCTCGCGATTTCGTCGGCGTGGATTTTAGATTTTCCGAACTTCAAAATAAAACATAGCCGAGAAGTCTACACTTAATAGCTACAACAAAAAAGTTTCATTCAAAGCCGTCCAGTAATTCCGTAAAACAATTTTTCTGTACAAACAGACAGATAAACGGACAGACAAAAAAAATAAGTTGATTTGTTTTATTTTTACAATGGCTCTATATTAGATTACTGTTTTATTATATGTATTAATAATGAGTGAAACATGTGTAAACCTAAGAATATTTTACATAAGTAATTTTAAACGGAACTTACAATTGGCCAATGTCATAAGTTCTTGATAAAAAGCGTTTGTTGCCTATTTTTGTTTTAAAATTTCCTGAAGTTTAATTTTCATTATTGGAAAATTAATGAATAAATTGTCCTTATAAGTTTCATGCACAGTGTTAAAATCTTGAAGAAGCTGAAAAATATCAAAGCTAACATTAGATAAGTACATACATAATAATTATATTCTTTGCATAATATACAAAAAAAAAGATTAATTATCATTAACAGACAATCTACAATTTAGGCAATTTTATCTCTAAAATCTGTATTACAAGTAATCCCGTAAAATAGTTTTAGTCATAATACCTATTATGTATAATGCAAAAGCACTTGACAGATTTTTTTTGTTTTATAGAGCGAGTTTATGGAATAAAGAGGAAGGACTAGAGAAATTTAAGGAAAATACAAATAATTTCTCAGTTTTAAGAAATAATTAATGTTAATATATATGTACAGTGTAGATTAGAAAATGCACATCATGGCTTTTCTCTAAAATAGATTTATGGTTTAAACAAGTAAATCAATAAATATAAAAACATTAAAATACTATATTATTATTTACCAAAGAATATCCATGTGGTTGCCTTAGTCCCAAGTACTTTCCAAAGTATGTTTCAATTGATGCATCGTTTGATCCATACAAGAAGTGGGCTCTTATTTTTTGAGTCCTTTGCCACTTTTCCTCAACCAAATACCAAGGATCAGCAGAGTTTTCAAGCCAGAGTATATCCTCTTCGCCTATGAAAATATCTGGTATGGGCCTTGGAGACGGGTTTGATTCGGTATATGTAGGGCTCTCTTCTCTACTACGTTTCCTATTGACGATTGGTAAAGCTCCCAAATTCTGTAGGTGTCTTCGCTTGTTTAGTACTTGATTTACAAGTTTACCCTTCGCTTGCAGGACAATACCATTTGCTGTAGTGCACGCTGGGATATAATATGTGGTCGTTCTCTCTCCAGGAAAGAGCTCTTTAATGTAGTTAGCCCATTTGTAATAAATAGCACCACTAATTGGTGAATTTTTGTTTTCATTAAGTATTGCCTTTGCAATAACAGCTGACAACAAATTTCTTGCACTGTCTCCTGCAAGACAGCGACCTTTAAACGCTAGGAGAGATGCAGAGTCAAGCGATTCCACTAAAAGCTTTTCCAATATCTAAAAATAACAGTAATCAATTATTATTTTTATATCATTAATTTTCAAATTATAAAAAGGATGCACTAGGCACAAATAATAAAGAAACTAAAAACAGAAAATTAAAATACAGATGAAATTGCTTACCATGCACTGAGAACTCTCCCCAAGCAATGTTAGATTTGGATGCAAATTTTCCTTTTCTTGTAATGGTTCATTAATTACAATTACTTCTTTAATAATAGATTCAAACAAAGATAAATCCACAGACTGAAAATGAGAATAGAATCAGAAGTTAAATAGTATCTAAAACTTAGTAAGGCAGACAAATTATGCACTAGACACTATTAGTACAATGATGATCCACTCCAAATCATTATCATCATAACAGTCCACTGCAGGAGTAAGGGCCCATCCACATTAGTAAAGGGTTTTGATATAATCTCAATCAAACAGTACTGTTGCCTACTTTCTATTCAATTTGTATTCCCTTGGTCGGCTCTCACGACACCCATGGGAAGAGTAGTGGGTGACAATTGTATTCTATTCTGCCATAACCACACTCAATCCATTTGCTTATAAATATAATAAAAAGACATACCTACTGTCAATTATGAGCTCAATTTATTAGTAATCTACATTATGCATTTTATAACTGAACATGTGTATTGAAAACTATTTCAGATAAAAATAAAAGTAGGTAGGTAATGTCTTACAGAAGAAAACTCTGCCTTCCACAACCTCCAGCATCTCATGAATATGGATCTGGGACCCGTCAGCGGAATTAATTCTTTGATGTCTGCATCTGTCAGTGCTGATAAGGCTTGTATAGTTATTTGTTGTTCTGGAATTGATAATTTGCTGTCCGTTAATACAGATTTCAACAACACAATGAAATGTATTCTACAGCTATTATAATTCATTACGGTGTCGGTAGAGCATTAGTAACAGCCGAGTCGACCAACATTAAAAAAACTTAATTCTATGTGTTAAGAATTGATACTGTTCTGACGTAACGCCGGGTTTCCAAAGCCTGTCTTTTCGCAGACCAGATCGAGGCAGGGCAGGCCGGCAGGCCGTGGGAACGATCGCGCACCCGATGAGGCTTGTGGTGGTCTGTCGTTGTCCGTCCGATCCGTCGGAGCTCGGTTAGTTCAAAATGGTTCGGCACAAGTCGCAACGGGCATCGACAAGCGTAGCGCAATCCGGCCTAGCCTTTGTTAGCACGGGCATTGGGAACCCGGCTTAACACAACACAACTCTGAACAAAAACAAGCAAGTAGGCACCCACTGATGTGCAGTAAAAACCACCAACGAGCCAACGACACGAGCGATAAGAATAGATTATACCTACTCGGTCACACCTCGCACCTACGAAGTGACGAGCAAATGCGTGGGTAACACATAAAAGGATGAAGAAGCCCGCGTTGCGCCCGCCGCCGCGTCGCCCCACAGACGGGGCGCGGCGCCTCATAAAACATGACCACAGTATTACCACTGTCTAATAATAATAATAATAAAATCCACTGACATGGATAAAGTATAGGTACCAGCATCAACAATTTTCTAGATCCACTCGTTGGACACTCGTAGAATGGAACCGGACTCAGCGAATTTCTGTTCGTGGTGGGCACATGGGTATAATTACGTATATAAGTACTTACGTAGATTTACATCACACAGTATGGAACACACAGACAAAAAGAGTGAAATACTTACTGTTAAACTCCGGAATAAGTGTATCCAACTCCCACGTTTTGAGAAGTTCAGAAACCTCTTCCATTTTCGTTTCTACTTTCCCAACAGCTTGCTTCGATCAACGTAAGCGCACGCAACAGGCAGAGTTCGCGCCGCAATAGAAAACAGGTTTTTACTTGAAACCAATGTTGCCAGACTGTGCTGCCAAAATTACCGATTTAGATTGGTGTATAAAAAAACGCTTCTAATCTAATTTATTTGTAGATATTATTTTTTTAAGCAGAATATTAATGGTTCTACTTGAATTGTTATACACCTATTTAGCTTAAAGTAGGAAAGAGATTGTAATGGTGTGAAAATAATTACATGCAATATTTATGACGTGCTGTAAATTTCTTAATATATATAAATGTTATGAAAATATTACGAGCGACAAACTGTTACCGTTATTAATATTGAGCAAAAAAATATATTGTTGGCATTTTGTATTTGTTGTTAAAACGGCAACAAAAATACTTCGAGTGTAAAAGAAGACATCGCGATAAAAGTTGTGGTGACATTAACGATTTCAATATTTTGTCTCGAACTATCTGCATTGATTCAAAAGATGCCTTAATTCATTTTCAAGAACTTAGCTTAGGATGTAATTTATTTTTTGTTCCTGATTCATAATTTTGTAGGGATTTTAGTACCAGTTTAGAATGTATAAAAGGTTATTTATATGCAGCCGCATGAACTTGTTTGACAGTCTTAGTCAAATTAGGCTCGTTATGGTGTTTGTGTTTGCTCAGCTTTGAATTTAAAAAAAAAATAGAAAATCAACTATTACAGATGATAGTTGATTTTCTATACTTTACAATACAAAAGTGACAGATAGACAATACAAAAATGTCAGGTGAGAATCAAATTTGACAGTAACTTTTTTTAAATAAACCAAATGGTGGTATTGTATTGTTATTGACTTAAGTAGTCCGATTTAGTTTTTCCTAATTTTCTCAATAAATATTGATCCAAAAAAATTTAAATACTTTATATGAGTAGGGGATACTTAGACCTCCGAATGTTTTTTTTTTATTTTGGTACTTTGTAAATATGATATGTTATAATACAACCGTTTATGCCATAATATCTCTTACTTACACATTAAGCAAGGTAATCAAAATCTATGAAAATTACATTAAACTCAAATAAAGAAAAATAACGTTTAAAAATTCGTTAGTTCTCATGACTTTATCGCTAAAATGGCAACACTACCTTTACGTCATATCCTGCAGCAAGATGCGTCGGCGATATCCTTCTAGAAGGCTCGAAATCGCGAGTTGATTCAAATAAGTAGTATTTCAATCAACTGAGTTTTATAATCATTTTAGTAAATTGACTTAATTGAGTTGACTAAATTTTTTTGTTGTTTTCAAGATCTACTTTCTTTGGTTTTATCAACATGTCTTCGTTAAATCAAATGCGACAAACTTATTACTTTAACAACAAAAATCGACAAATCAATTACTTTACTTATTTATTTTGAATAGTTTGTATGGATTGATTCAACACACTCGCTCTTTGTTGGCTTTCCCGTTATTTAGTGAGGAGTAGCGTTCATTTTCTTAGTTCCATTAAATAAGTAGGTATTTAAATCTACTGAACATGATAATCATTTTAACAAATACATTCTTAGTAGAATGAAACATTTACTTTTAATTTATCCAATAAAGTCAAGTAGTTACAATGACACATTTTCGTTGTTGATTTGACCAAATAGTCTTTGTTATTTTAAAAACAAAGGGTTTTCTGTGGTTTTATTAACGTTCTTTGTTAAATCAAATACGAGAAACTTATTACTGCAACAATAAAAATCGTCTAATCCAATACTTTACCTATTTAGTTTGATTAATTTGTATAAATTGCTTCAACATACTTAGTCGTTAAATTTAACTATTAAAAATAATTGATTCACACAAAAAAAACCAGTAATGATGGATACGATAAATATATTTGATAGAATTAATCAAGGTTACCAAATTTTTAATTTAACCATACTTTGATTAGTTGTTTCAATGTTTCAGCTTTGATTGATTTATATAAATAAATAATTGTTTCATTCAATATTATGTCAACCAAGAGAAAATCGCTCTTTGTTGGCCTCCATTTTTTAGAGTGCAGGCAGGGCTGGGGAGAGTAAAAGTATAAATATTGAGCAAATGCCCGTTTGCATCACTCCATAGAGAAAGATCTATCGTGGATGTTGCGGTATACGTTAAATGAACATTATTTTACCATCTTAAAAATTCGTCAAAGACAATAGTGATATTTTAAAAAACATGTCAAATTCGCATTGAATTATAATATTCATAACTTTAATAATATATGATAATACAGATTATACAACTGATTTAATCGTCATATTCAACCTTGGTTAACGTAATAATCTCAGTTTTATCATCATGTTATTTAATATTGAAAAATCAAATCTAAAAATGTCCTATCTTAAGTAACTGTTAAATGCATATAGGTACATATTTTCTATATTCACTACCTGCTTTCACACGACTTCGTCCGCGCCTCTTATAACCTATAGCAACAGCATATTATGTAGCTTTCCCTAGTTTCATGATCGAATCAGTATTGTGTAGATTACCCAATGTATTTTAGGTCTAGGAAATGCATTAGGCAAACCTGTCAACCGACAGTGGGTGTCCAACTCTCCTTCGCGAACTCACCTAATGACTAGCTGCGCGATGAGTTCCCGGAAACCTATCCACAAAACCCCTACGGTGTACCCTTCTCTGAGGATGAGACCCGGGAAGCAGTGACTGCGTAAATTACCATTATAATTATATTGTTTGTTTGTTTGTGGGGACAAATAGGCAATATTAGAAACCTTACCGCTTTGTAATAATATTAATAGATTGGTGTTAATTCTGTTGTGATAAGTTTAGTTTTATCCTTCAAACTTCATTTTCGATTCTGTAAATTACTACGATAACAAGAGTTACCTTTCGCTATTCGGGCTACTGCTCTAACCACTAAACAACTCAGGACCTGACAAGACAACGAATCTTTCAAGCACTTGTTCCTTTTTCGCTATTATAGAGCGTATTCTAATCAGTGTCCAGGCAATACACCCAAACAGCTGTAAGAAATATTTTTACAAACATTTAAACTTTCGATAACGATGAAAATTTATTCTAATTATTACCAATTTCGCATTCACAATGCTATAATCAAAAATATTCTTAGTGAAAAATGCTTCAAAAATCCACTTGGTCCGTGGATTGCCTGAACATTGATGAAAATACTCTCCGTACTAGCGAAAAAGTAACAAGTGCTTGAAGAATTCGTCAGTCCTGTCAGGTCCTGGGTAGCTCAGTGGTTAGAGCAGTCGCCCGGATAGCGAAAGATCATGGGTTCGAATCCCATCTCAGGATGCAAGAAACCAAGTGGATTTTTTAAGAATTTTTCATTAAGATTATTTTCAAATATTATAAATTGATCAAATATAATAAAGTTATTATATTGTAATATAAAGTTATTCTGTTAAAACTGCCGCAAACTCGACGACGAGTACAGAGCTCTCATAGTATAGCGCTTCAATAAATTAACCTTTATTACCTTTTGAATTGAACCTCGATGACCTGACAACGTTGTGTTCAGGCTTGTTTTTATTCTGTGCACTTTAGGAGTATGTACTTATTATAAAACTATGTTAAGATTTAAAAAAATACTCGTTTGAGATGTGTCGCACAACTGCAATTGTTTATTTTATTAAAGAAACCCGCAAGGGTAAGTTCTAGACTATATATTTCAGAAACAGATTAGAATATATATTTTGGTTTGTGGTTTTTCCTAAGTTTTTTGGTTTCGAACTTACTTTTTGTTGGTATGCCCGACAAAATGAGAATAATTTATATCATTAATAATCACTTTTATTAGTTTACTTGTTAAACTAAATTAACTTACAATAACACATCTTTCTAGAACGCAGCAAGCGGAACTGGAGGAGTGCACAGACTACTTATCAATTAGAGTTATTAATACACCACAGAGTATTCAGAACAAAATCACATTCCTTAACACTTTTAATTTTTCTTTGAATATTTCTTGTGGCTGTGATATATCGTCGGGAGTTCTTCGATGTCATTGTAGACAGTCATATTGTGTGCCTTTTTCGCTGACATAAGATTTGTTTATTGATATTGTTTGTGTGTGTATTGTTATTAGCTCGTGTGGTCGACAATCTGCGAGGAGGTAAACAAACGTTGCGGCGGCGAGCGGCCGCGCACTCCCGCGCAGGTCAAGATGTGGTACGAGAACTACAAGAAGAAATGCAAGATGCGCGCACACGAAACACATGTTAGTACACATGCAGATATTTACGCCACTACAAATACACGTGCCACTACATACCCAAATACACACGCCACTGCACACGTAAATGCACACACAATTACACATGCCACTACGCATATGAGTACAAACGCTACTACACTCAACTTGATCCATAGGGAAGGCCTACACCCCAGCAATGATGTTATATTAATCAGCTGACGTACTTAGCCATCGACTTTCGATGGCAAATATTTACACAGTTATTTTACTACATATCACGGGTTCTATAGTATTTTCCTAGACAAGACGAAAAACGGACGACCCGTAGTATTATATGAACGTTGAGGGTAAACAATACGTATCGCTATCCATAGAGCGATATCGCTTCGCGCAGTACTGCCTATTGTTGTGTAGGTGAGGTCAGCCACTTATGGCATCTCGTACAACCGGTGGCGGATTTATTCTAAGGCCACGCGGAGGAAATACAACCTTAACCTTAAACCAGGGTTCTCCAACGATGCCCCCGTCCTGAAAGAACAGGTTTAAGCGAAACTGGCCTATTTGGTAAAACCCGTTGCAAAGTACCCTCTTGGGGGAAGGCCCAGGATCCAGCTAGGAGCCCACCGGGTGACAGTAGGCCCAGGGCTAGAGCGGTCAATGATTGCGTAAAATATTGTAACGAAGCCGAGTGATGAAACACCGTAACTTTTCACGTCGTCAAAAATGTAAATTCATATGAGATGCGTAAGTAAATTATGAGAGCTAAAACCTGCAATTCCGCCTCTTCGTACAACAAAGCGTACCATAGAAACGATACAAAGTTCTACGGTTAGCTATACGTATTGTTTACTTCCAACGCTCACATTATACTTCGTATTTAATATGTATGTTTGGTTCTATTTAAGATTATTTATATGATTGTTTGCAGCAACCACCGACCGAAGCGCCCGGCATACTGGACGGAATGCTCTGGCAAAGCATACATCCACTAGACGTAAAAGGTTAATATACTAATACTCACTATTTTGCTGAGCAGATATATATCATTTTGACACAAGCCATTTTATTATTAGTTTTTAATATTCTTATTAAAAATGCATAAAAAATCCACTTTATCCCTGATCTTTAAAAAATCCATACTAATATTATAAATGCGAAAGTAACTCTGTCTGTCTGTTACTTAATCACGCCTAAACCACTGAACCAATTTGCATGAAATTTGGTATGGAGATATTTTAATACCCAAGAAAGGACATAGGCTACTTTTTACCGCGGGAAAATGACGCATTCCCACGGGAAAATAATCTAAATATATATAACTCAAAGGCGACTGACTGACATAGTGATCTATCAACGCACAGCCCACTGGACGGATCGGGCTGAAATTTGGCATACAGGTAGATGTTATGACGTAGGCATCCGCCAAGTAAGGATTTTGATCAATTCTATCCCCAAGGGGATGAAATTTTGTATGAAACTTTGTCAATTTTAAACCGCTCAGGCTGAAATGTTGTATAAATAAGGCTACTATGACGTAGGCATTCTCTAAAAAAGGTTTTTATTGATTCCACCCCCAAGGGGATAAAATATCTATGAAACTTTGTCAATTTTAAGGGCTGAGACTTTGCATGCATAAAGTTACTATGTCGTAAGCATCCCCTAAGAAAGGATTTTGATAAATTCCACCCCAAAGGGCATAAGCTAAGAGGATAAGACTTTTTTTTTCAGGTATTTTACACGATATAATGAATAAATATTCGTTTGAAATGCTGCTCAAAGTAACTTTACCACGCGGACGAAGTCGCGGGCAAAAGCTAGTATGTAAATATTGTAAAGTATTTCGTATTGCCTGAACATCGATAAAAATACGAAATTCAATAGCAAAAAAGTAACAAGTACAATAAAAAATTCGTCAGTCCTGTTAGGTCCTGGGTAGCTCAGTGGTTAGAGTGGTCGCCCGGATTGCGAATGATTTTTCAGTATAGCATTGTGAATGCAAAATTTATCAAATATAATAATTAGTTTAAAATTTTCAATTTGTCTGATATTCCAAACAATCGTTTCGAGTCATGAAGTTATTCTTTCTAAAATGAGAGAAACGGGCCATCAACTTCTTGGACCAACGAATTCTTGGACCGACGTAATTTATGGACGGCCCCAAATTAATCATTCATCGTAATTTCGTTACAGAGGAAGAAGGTGAAGCAACGACCAGTGTGGAGGGAGCGCACAGCGTCAAAGATGACGGCTGCTTGCCGGTTAACGTGAGTTACGACCAATATCATTCTGCCGTTCTTATTAAGAGTGCAATAACTAAATTCAGGCTGCTTTTAAGCTAACCGTATTTAAAGATTTACAGTGTTATTACAAAAAAGATAAACACACGTTGAACACGTGTGTAAAAAAAATCTATTACAAAATCGTATTTAGGCATTGGTTAAGGCTAAACATCCCTTAAACATTGTTTAAAATATAAACATTCGTTGAGAGTTGTTTAACGCGTGTCTAACCTCAAAATAGGTTGCGCTTTGTTGAAAATTCATCCATATTCTTAAGATAAAGATTATATTGATATGGTCGATTTAGATTACATGGAAAGCTTTCAGGACGCGTAAGTAAATCGAACGCGAATTAATCCATTTGAGAAATACAATGAACTTTGATATAAAAGAAAGTACATATTTAGTTTGCTGACAAAATATATGAAATTATTTAAGACGATATTCCACATAATCCTCGAGATGAAAGCAAATAAATACACGTAGCATGTGCATGTGTGCATAGCTTCTGTGTCTGTTCACATCTCGTGAACATGTGCGGCGTTGGGTTCGGCATCAGGTAGTCGTTGTTCCGTTTCTTCATATTATTTCGCTATAGTTTTACTTAACCATACTCTAATATGAATTATGAATAGAAGTGCCAGTTTAAAAACGTTAATTTTGTAATTTCTCTTTTAGTTTTGAAAGTTATTAGCTAATACGTTATTGAACATATCTTTTTACGATTAGAATTTATCATAAGTCTGTATATAATGTGCATATAATGGAACGTGTATGAACGAATGAAAGCCGACTGAACGAATCATTTACGGGTTGCATGTTTAAATCAGCGTTAGTTAGACTACGACTAAAAATGGATTTGTAATAGACAAAGTTAAACATAATTTTAAACAGGGTTTATATTGTTTACTTAAACACATGGTAAAACCCTGTCTAACATCTCTTTTGTAATAACACTGTTAATGTTTGTCTTGTGTGCATATTTAACAATCAAAAGAACCGAAACTACTGTCAATACAAAAAAAATGTACGAAAAGATAGAGATAATTTATTGATTGCGTATATGTATTAATTAAGGCAGATTGCCTGAACTTTCAACTTGTTATATTTATCGTAAAGACGGCATCACTGGTCAGATACCAGTTTTCTCCATTTCTCACATCATAATTTATGAATACACTTATTAATGGACTTCTAAAATCAACATAAACAATTTCTGTAGTAAATGTAATTTCAAAAATATCATTTTTAAAGTTTCAATAAATGTAATAATTTTTCAAATATAGATGCGATAAAACCTTTTTATTTAATGAGGAGTGTGCATGTGAAAATACAAGGAGCAATTACATTTGTATGGTTTTTTTTTAACTTTTAACTTTCTTATGTTATAAAAGGATGATTTTTAATTGTTCAGTTTCATTTGTTTTAACTTTAGACGGCGCTAATATTCATTCAGAGTTTATGTTAATAAATAAATCATCATATTATGTAAATCATTGACAATTTTTTTATGACCTTCGAAATAAAATATTCAATTTACAGAAGGAAAACGTGTCCAAAACATGTTGCTATTAATGGTCAGCCATAGTTTAATAATGATCTATCACCGTGTATATTATAGAATTGAAAATTGACAGCGGAACATAATTCCAGATGTCCAACGGGCGACTGTCAAGCACGAACGACAGCGACGACACGATGCCGAACGTTCTAGAGCCACACGTACAGATCATCCCCCATTCATCCCCCACGCCGCCTCTCAAGCCCCTGCCCAACCCCCTCGCCATCCCGCACATCCCCATCCTCTCCAGCCCCCTCCAAGCGATCGAACAAGCTAGAATACAGCAAAACCTATTACAAAAATTAAACGAACTATCGAATACACCTTTGAATTTGAGTCATTTGGACGAAGATAAAAGAAGAAATGGAAGCGAAAAAATGGACGAAAAGATGGACGATCACATTAAACACGACTGTGGCACCGCCACAGAAGAGGAGAGATTATATTTCACGGCGAAAAGGCAGCACGCCATTTGGGAGCACGAAGCGAAAATGAAAATCCTAAACATGGAACTGAGGCAGAAGGAAGAGATATTTTCCTTGCAAAAACAGTTGTTTCTCATCGAGTTAAGGTTAAAAATGGACTTTTTGGAGAAGGCGAGCGCCAAATAAGGTATTGGTGACAATAATAATGTGTTTCTTCGATTTAATTAAGACACTGTGTGTCTTTGTAAGTGAGATTGTTAGGTCAGGGTATCGATCTAACTAGAATAATGAAATGTTTAGCACCACTGGTTTTCAATTCATTTTTCCAGGGAAAAGTAACCTTTTCCTTTAAGTATTTTTTTAATGTCTGTCTAGTTAGATAAAAGCCCTGCTTTATAAATAATGTGTAAATTCATCATGATTTTTCACATGTCTTGAACATTAACTGAATCGTTTAAAATACATAATTAACTAGTTCTTGGTGCCATAGACAACATTATAAATGTTACACGTAGATATGACACTTGTTTTTGGTCACAGACCGTTATTATAGTTTGCAGAAAGATAGCATTAAATGCCCATGATATTATTTTAAATGTTATTATATTTTTTTAACAAAACAATGACAATTTATTTAACGTTGACAATAGTATTTTTAGTAATAATATGAAGAGCGTGGTACAATATTTATTTTACAAATTATCGTACCCGTATTATGTTATGTTAGAAGAATCGTGGATATTTTTGTAATTATTTTGCAAAGCTAATTTTTTCATTTTAGCAGTTTTAACATGCTTAAGATATTTTATAACGCTTGATGCGAAACTTATGTGGTATTACTGATAAGGCAGCTCCGACAATATGTTTATTTTTTGTTATATGAAAATTAATAACCAATAATAATTACGTACTTCAATTAAATAATTATTTTAATTTAAATAAATTTAAAAATATGATTTATTTTTATGTTTACCGTGATTTACGTAAGTGGAAGTCTTGATAGTATTTTTTCCTTTTTTATATAAAAAATAGTACTTAGCATTTCGTATGCTTATTTTTTAGATTTTAATACCCATATTTGGGAGTCAAAGTACTTTTGACATGTGTCAAGTATAGCGAAACGCTATAAAAACCTAGTCGTAGATGGTATAGCAGTTGTATGAATCAGTAATTTTCTGGACTAATTTTAATAAACATTAGTACTAACAAAAAATGCACAAATCTTGAAATATCAATTTTGCATTTATTAAAGTTAGTTTGCGATAAAAAAAAAGTATTTAAAGCATTTTTTTCTCTTGTAAGAAAATTGCTCAGTTGCGTTTGATTTATATATCTGCCAGATATAGTTATTCTTAACGCAATAATAAGGGTTAGTGTTCATCTACAATGCCTCGCAATGCAATCGCACGCCATTGTGCTTTCGTTCATTCTTAAAATGTATTTTGGTATTTTAAAGACCTCAATGAATCTAATCTTATGCAATAATTATCCTATTCGTTAATACAGGTGATATCCTATTAATCGCAGATACCCTATTTATATACTACCTTTTTAAATTATACTATAAGTCTATCCAGATTAATCAGTCGACGAGTGACATAGTAATCATTAGATTCCGTTGTTATTGAACTGTGTTATACTTTTTCGTTTCAACAATGGCGTTTTTTTAATTTAAACCCCGATGATAATAAAGTACTGCGATGTAGTAGGCACCAACCTTTAACCAAAATATTAATATGTAATGTATATCTATAATAATTTAAAATAACTAATTTGTACAACTGCATATTTCGAGTCAGTGACGTGCCAATAATCAAAAATTATTGTTATATAATATAAAGATAGTTATTACATATATAAGGATATAGTGAAATATACGTAACACTACTACGTAAAGAAATTATTTAAATAGTTACATGAAAATTAAATTTGACACAAATATGATATAATTAGAGGTGTAATGTAGACACGAAAAAAATATCAGTACAAAATATATTTAACAGAATATTTATACCTCAGACAGTGTATTATTGTAAATAAATAGATAAGTAGATATCGTATATTTAAATATAAAACGTTTTAGATCAGTTTTTATATGGAGAGGCGACTTACACCTTTTTTAATTATCATTCTTTTTTTATAATTCAGGGCGAGTTTACTCAGTCGTATATATCAATTATAAATGATAATAAGACATGTGTAATTAAAAACTGGAAAATATATTTGGAATGGTAACTATTAGATATTAAGAATCTTGACTCGATTGGCATACAGTTGAGTTTGCGTAAACTCGTGCTACCAAGTGAAAATAAAACTTTTTTAAGTCTGGCAACGTTGGGTGTAAGGGCGTAATGGCAATACTGAAATCTGATATTTTCAAAGGCCAAACTACGTAGCCCAGGGCCGTGTACATTAAAACAAAAATAGTGACATAATAAATGTGATGTATTTTGCGATCTCAGTAATAATCCTCCTTGCTCCTTCGATGTTTTATTCTTTTTGGAACAAGCGTTATGTTAATCTGATTAAATTGGATATTATTGAAATTATAAATAAAGAATTTATTTTCTGTTCCGACGTGTATTATTCTCTCATCAATTATCTTTTTTTTATATATCCTTTTGGTTAAATATGAATTTTTAATGAACAAGTTAACACATATCTTAAAAACGCACAGAATGAATTAGAGTCATATATCAGTCGAGCATTATTACACAACCAGCACATAGCAGTGGTTTAATATGCTACAGGAATTTTATTATTCCCTCTTGCTTACTTCTTACTAGTAAGACGGCAACGCGCCGACGCGCAATCGTACTGTCACAGTTAAAGCATTCTAGTGAAACGATAATTTTAATTCAAACGTTTTTTTACCCATTTTTCTATTGTAGACCGATATCTTTGTGAAGACATCAGTGTGGCAGCGTTACCCTCTTTGATTTTGATATGTACTGTAGTCCCTTATCAGTCCGTTACGAGATAGTTAAGTTTTAGAGTTAAAGACTGTGGCGCTGACTGACTGACGTGGGCCCGGAAGCTTCACAGCTAGTACTTATTATTTATTTATTTATTATCAATTTTAAAACTTTAATCCTATATTTGTCTATAGGGTACATAACGGTGACAATAGGGATGACGACTGGGAAAAAAAATGCAATTCTATTTAGTCCGTCAGTCAGATAATAGAAAAATATTAAATACGTATATTTTTTTACTTCAATTTAACAAGAAATAGCTTAGATAACATGCATTAAAGTTGAGGAGTGGCGGCTCGCTACGTCACAGTTGAGTAATAAACGTACCATAACGTAACGTCATGCGAAATTTCAACTCCATGTAACGCCGTAATTTTATGATTACCTTCGAAAAAAATTAAAAATATACGTGTTTATTATTTATTAACACTACCTGACGGACAAACAAACAAAAATTAGTCATCATCCCTATTCACTAAAGATTTTGTTTTATAGAGATTGAAATATAAGTATGACGTCAGTAAAACAGTAAAATTCGAAAAAACCTTATATTGTTGTTTTTACAATCAATGTACATATACAATGTCACTATAATAGTCTTTAAAAACAATATTTATTTAAAATAAACACAGCCTTATTTTTAAAAATGCAATGATAAATCAAAATAATCTAAATGGAATGTTTTACATTAATTTAATACCTTAAAATGATATCGAAAATATCGCCAAAAAAAAAGCAATCCATTATTGAAAATAATATAATTGACAATTTCTATCTGTTGTCTTTATTAAGGTTCTGACATCGGCACATTTTAATAGGACATTGCAGTGATGAGTTCTCAAAAGTTTACTGTATAAAATATATTAAAGGAAATAATTACAATCTAGTTTTAATAGCTTTCCTTGAGATCTTGTTATAATTAAGTTCAATTTAAAAAATCGATATGGCTTCATGTTTATATATATATTTAGAACAGAGTATGATAATTTGATTTGAACCAGATTGTTCTTTAGCTACCTAAAGTAGAAGCCGCTAGTTTACTTGCAACTCTTTTTGCATCTTCGCATGTGTCTTGAGTCTTGTAGATTTCCGGAACCACTGTCTAAGCAGATATGTAGTAACTATCAAGTGAAGTCTCTTTAATAATGGCAGTATCTTAACGTTTACATCTGACATATATCCTATAATGTTTATAAATCTTTATCAACCGCGCCGAAGGTAACGAAAGAAGCTAATTGTAGAATTGTGCGCATGAGAACGAACATCCGCGCACTAAAAAGCGCCGATTTATCAGAATTCTAACCTCACTTGTCATTTACTTACTAGATACAGTAAAATCATTCCGCTAGCCTACTTCAACTCTGCTTAATCTTGCTAGCAGTTTTATTTGAAAAAACTAATAATATTTTTTAAAATAATTTATTTATCAATAAAAGATTTTTTATTTGGGTTAATGATCTCTAAAAGGATATTTTAGAATTGTTCTTTAGCTACCTAAAGTAGTGGCTACACCACTGAGCACTCCCACTTGCAAGTCCTTGTGCATTCTCACATGTGTCTTAAGTCCGGAAGACTTCCTGAACGACTGACCGCAGACATTGCAAACAAACGGACGTTCCCCCGTATGACACCGGATGTGAGACACCAGGTCCTGGCGCTGGACGAACGCCTTCTCGCAATAGGAGCACTGATAAGGCTTTTCACCCGTATGGGTTCTTCTATGGTTCTTAAGGGTACCTGAAATAAGTAGCGGAGGTGTTAGTGATACTTTCAGTAAGATTCCCAATCGTCTATTAAAGTTTAATGACGACTTTAAGTGTTCTAAATTTAAAAATTAAACAAATGTTCTAAGTTTGAAAATTTCTAAAGGTGATGTCACTAAACTAATGACAATTTCAATGAAATATTGTGCAACTAGTACTTAATCTTTCAGTCATTAGGGGTCATTGGACTTCCTTATGGACCTTCATGTTTCTGAATACGGGACGGAACGGAACGACACTCAACATGCGCTTGAAATATTATATAAAAATAATATAACGTAATCGCAAACTTTTATGACTTTATTTTAATGTGCGTAGTGCTGTTCGCCTTCTATGTTAGAAATCATCGAGTATACCAAAGCCAGATCAAAATCTAGCAAATTTAATGTACTATAATTTTTCAATGGACATTAAACGTAATAAGAGATCTAATAAGAAAGATAACGCTAATTGAATGAGACTTTTACGCTAACAAACGAACTTGAAATGAATTGGAGCTTGACAATTTCCTTGCCATTGACTGTACTCAAAAAATGTCACGGGCATGTTCTATACACAGTACATATAAAACAAGTCGCTTCCCGCTGTCTGTATGCTGAGTTCTTGTAAACAAAGCAACGAATTTTAATGCAGTTTTCATTCAACAATATACAGGATGATTCAAGAGAAAAGTTTATAAGTATAACCATGCGAGCTAAGGCGCTGGCGGAAAGCTAATCTCTTATACAATTAAGAATAATGATTTGTTAGTTCTGTAGCTCCATTCTGCTAATGTTAACGTAATCACACTACGGATTACAATAGCAGTTTCTTAAAAATAATCCTTAATACTATATCACATAGTACTGGTATCAATGTGTCACTGATACGCAAACATTTTAGCAGGGTTCGGAGTGATAATTATATTGATAAATATACCTTGCTAATTATAAAATACCACACAAACGCTTTTTGTACTTTAGGACTTGTTATTAAAGTTAAAAATCTTTAAACAACTACCAAATATGGTTTTTCTGATAGAGAAAATTGTCTAGGACATCCTAGAGATAATATACAAAAAAGAGATTAATAGCCTCCTTTTTATTCAAAAACATTTATATATTTTTGATGTATTTGTATTTTCAAAAATTAAAGTTTATTCAATTATGAATGCTTTCTGTATTCAAATAAAATTAATTTTAATTATAAAAAAAGCAACTATTAATAATTAATAGATAATTAGTCAATATTAATGAAAAAAAAAATTATCTTGATAATTACAAACCCTGATATTTAGCACAATCATACTAATAATATTTAACGTTAGAAGAATGTGGAAAGTGCAATTAATAAAAAAGCCATAAATTGTCATTTATATGTTAACACTAACTTCTGCTTGTATCTCAAATCTATCCTCGGAGTATCTACAAGTAGGAGGACCTCCTTGTAGATACTTAGAGGTTCTGTAAGTTTACCTGAAGCACTGAACTTCATGGGGCAGAGATCGCAACAGTAAGGTTTCTCTCCAGTATGGACTCTACGATGTTTCACAAGTGAGCTGGAAGTGGTGAAACCTCCACCGCAGTCTGTGCACACGAACGGATGCGCCCCACTGTGCTTACGCTCGTGGGCGTCTAGCTCACCCTTCGATACGAACCTAGTTACAATCAAAGAAACTGTTAAAACACAAGAGAAATGGGCAACAACACTAACTTATGTTTAAGAGTGAGATGCAAATAGATGCAAGCCACTGTGTTGATGCAAATGTGCATTTAGGTAACCTTGCGATA